CGATTCAACATTGAATTTCCTAAAATCATTTCCATTATCCTTTCCGATCTTCTGCATTACGGTATGCAGGCCAAAGAGGTACTTCGTTACCGGCTGTTGCATAAATTGTGAAACAGTCAAAAAATTCGTCTTTTAGAAACAATTTAATACAAAAAAAAAAAAACTAAGCAAGCCGGCAACAGTACTTTGCCTGGGCTCGTAATTCGCATGTCGCACCAAAAAATCTTGTCTTCTCCGATAGCTACAAAATGAAGTGAATGAAGTCGATTGATTTTGAACGCAATGACTTATTCTTAAGCGCTAATTTCCTTAATTAAATGAAATAATGAAGCATTTGGAACACAAGACGGCGGGTACTAAATAGAGATGTGCAGCTCGGATCTAAGCGCCTCGCATATTTGCATTTGGCGTTTAACTCAATGACGTATTACCATTAGATTTCCACACCGACTGTTCCCACACCGGTCTTGTTATTTCGGGCTGCAGGTGATCGTTTTTGTGGTCGGCTACGGCTTCACGTTCGCGGATATCAAGCTTTGGTCTGGTTACGACATTGATACCGGACGTTCGTTTTTCTTCCCATACGGCATTGGTGGCACACTTGCTGGAGCAGCAAGCTGTTTCTTCGCCTACATCGGATTTGATGGTCTGGCAACTGCTGGAGAAGAAGCATCAGGTTCATCTCTTTTTTCTCTAGCTTTGTAACTTTGCTTTCTGTGACACTCTTGTTCGAATTATTTGGGAGAGCTGTCAGCATTCATGATATATGTAATGTGCAGCTGTTCCAGCTGCTTTGACCAACGCTTCGTCACAGGATGGCCAGCTTGCTGGCGATTTTGACATTCATTTCTTTCCCTGAAGTGATTATCAGTTCAATGGGCCCTCCCAGCAGAAGCAGGGAAAGCCTTAGTCTTTCAAGATGTCCTGGGTGTATGTTGAATTCTAGCATCTTGTCCTAAACGAAAGCACAATGAGTATCTCACTTACCAAAAACTTTTTACAACTTCTGCGCATGTATTATAATAGCATATATGTTTAGACCCGGCTCGTACAATACCTCTGGCAACATTCATCTCGATGTCCATCGTGAC